CCACAAAAGAGGTCCCCTCAGCTAAACCCTATAATCTAGTAGTAGTAGTAGTAGTCGTAGTAGTAGTAGTAGTAGTATTGTATTTGTCCCTGTGGGGAAATTGGTTTGCAGCATTATCACAGGCATTTCAAAAAAAAAAAGAAAAAAGAAAAAACAACATTCGATAAAGACAGCTTAGGATATACAACATGAAAAATTTCCACTTCACGCCTTGCAGCATTATTAAAAACATAATGGCTAAGATGGTCGCACCTGCTGCCCAGACCAGCTGGACAGTAAGGTGCACAGTGAACAGCTAAGGTGACTAAACAGAAAGGTGCATTATTTGTTTAAGAGCTTAATTGCTTGTAGTACAAATGAAAACTTTGACCTTTTTTTGGTGAATGGGGGCGGACGGGAGCGTCGCCCGGATGGCAAAAGTTCGAAAGATGGAGCAAGGGGGTGCTGCTGGTCACCCACAATGAGCAGTTTACTTGCCATTAATACAGTATTTCTGACCAACTGTTTTTAATCTAGAATTTCTCTGTATGACTATTATTTGGGAAAGGTAATAAATACCCCAAATAACTACATCACATACAGAAAGTTCAGGTCACATACATAAAAAAGCCCGGCAGAGGATGTACTTTTGCTGTGACTACCAAAGTACATCCTCTGCTGGGCCACATGCGGGAGCTGTTGACCCAGTTCTACACAGAAGTCATTCAGTCTGTTCAATGTGCTAATCTGCCCTCCCTCTGGGACTTCCTGAGTAAGAAAACAAGCAGGAAAAAAATTAAGAGCCTTAACCCTGAACAATTCAACTTTTGCCCTCTGGTGGGTGCTACAGATCACTGTATACCACACTGACCATGACACAAGAATCTCTTTGCTCCCTGAAGCACTATGCTTTATATACAGACCCTTTCCAAAAAATTAGAATATCATGGAAAAGTTGTTTAATTTCCATAATTCCATTCAAAAAGTTAAACTTTCATAGATTATAGATTCAGGGCCCACAATTTAAATGATTTCAAGTATTTATTTGTTTATTTTTACATAATTTGGGCTTCCAGCTCATAAAACCCACGAAAACAGGAATTCAAAAAATTAGAATACTGTGAAGAAATCAGCCCAAATTTTGCAGGGCATGAATGTTTTAAACTGAGTGTCCCACACTAATCATCTACTAAACTCAAAGCACCTGCAATTGTCTCAGTTCGGTTCAATATGGGGAAGAATGCAGACATGACAACTGGCCAGAAGACCATCATTGATACCCTCCATAGGATGGGTAAGCCACAAAAGTTCATAGCTAAGGAGGCTGG